ACCATCACCACCACCATCATCACCATCACTACAACCACCACCTCCACCATCACCACCACCATCTCTACAACCATCACCACCACCATCATCACCATTACTACAACCACCACTTCCACCATCACCACCCCCGTCACCATCATCAGCTCTACCAGCACCAATGCCATCACCAGCTCCAATGGCTTAGCCTTTCTCTTCTAACCCAAGCAGGAAGAGCAGAGTTTTCAGGACAGCAGAGCCAATCCTCATCAGAATTACTTTTTATTCCCACATACTTCTCTCCTCCTCCTACAGGAAGCACTGCCAGAGGGGAACAAAGGCACTGGTCCATGAATCAAGAAACCTGGGAATGGGAGACTTCCTGGGGCCTAGCAACACTTTTGGGTGGATCCTAGTCCCCAGAGGGTCCCAGAGAAACACCCCTAATAACCTTGGGAAGGTCTCCCGGGAGGGCCCAGTCACATTCCTGTCTTCCCCAGACTTTTCCTGGGCTGAGAAAGAGAGACTTACTGGCCCTATGACCTTGGATAAGTTAATTCCCAAACCAAACCTCAGTTTCTTCACCCATAAATGGAGTTAATAATTCCTGCCTACATTTCCTCTGAGAGCTGTTAAGAAGTTCAAAAGATGTGAAACTCAGCTCACCCTCTCTGCTTCCCACTCCCATCCCACCTTCCCCCAGGCCCAGAGCTGTCAAAGCCCTCTGGCCTGGCTAAAGGACCCTGAGCAAGAGTTCAGACTTCTGGTTTCAGGCCCTGGGTCCCAGGGGCTCAGCAGGCCAGTCAACTTGAGAAATCAAAGGTTAGGGATGAGGCCTTGAGCAATCGAGGGTGGAGGAATATTTTCAACCCATTTCTACCACCAACTCATTCTATGACGGTGGTCAGGTTACTCACACGTTTCTATAGGGTAACAGGTTCCTATCCAAACTGGAGGAATACAGGAAGAGAAGAAAACATATTCATTGAGCCTCTACCTCTACAGCAGTCAGTTCACTGAACCAGTCCTCTGAGATATAAAATGTTATTTCCAATTTTATACTCGAAGAAAATGAGGCTCAGAGAGGTTTGGCAACAGCTCCCTGGCGGGAGAGCAGAGCCAGGGTCTCCTGACGGCAGAGTGCATGCTGTGGTCTCCATCCCTACAGCTGCTGCTTATCGCTAGTAGAGGGACACGGAGGAGACACAGGAAGTAGACGGGGAAAAGAGAGAGGAGAAGGGAGGTCTCAATTTCACCCTAAAAGTCTAGAATCACCACCAGCTGGCATCCCAAAATAGCCCCTGATTTACACGACACTTTGCTGGGAAGGAACAGGGAGTGGAGATGGGTCTAGGACCCCAAAAAGCCCACTTACCATTCCAGCCTCAGAAGACAGGGTCCAAGACCCCAAAATCCTCTGCTGCCCCTACAGACCAACCCACCTTGAAATGATTCGTAGGGTCATCATATCCCTCCCCCGGCCTGAACACCTCTGACATGCTCCAATTCACCGGCACTAAAAGTGCAAATTAAAAGGAGATGGTTTTCGTCAGTCACGTTGGCAAAATGTTTAAAAATCGATAATACCTAATGCTGATGAGCCTAAAGGAAAATGGGTCCTCTCGTCCACTATTGGTGGGTGTGTAAACTGATTCCCCCCTTTTAGGAGGGGATTCAGCAATGCCTTGTACCTATCAAAAGGCAAAATGAGCTCGGGCGTCCCAGGATTTCCTCCTCCCACCCACCCCAGACCACTTAATAGAAATCAGACAGCCACCAGCAAACAGCCGAACATAAAGCAAAGCCGGTTTCACCTGCTGCAAGAGAGATGAAGCCAGCCAGCCCTAAATAAAGCTAAAAAAATTTTTTTTTCATCTAAAAAGTTCTTGGAGTTAGGAACGTGGAGAAAGGAAAACCACAATGGCTGTGAGGCCAGTGATCGAGGACTGTGTGGGACCGAAACGGTTTTATCAACCCGTAACTTCACACACACAGACACAAATGCAAATTGAGCTCCTTAACAACGGAGCTACCCAAAGTTATCTTAATTATAATAATCAACTAATCACACCCAGAAAAGTGGGGATTGCCAGCAATTAATGCACACCCACACATCCACACACAGACACCAGCTCTCTCTTCCTCTACTGAGAATGTCTACCATCCACTCTCGTATGCTTGCCAACACCTTCACAGCACACGTACGCTGCCACGCAGAAACACAAGTCCAGGGGGGCACTATCAGGCACCCCAAGTCTCCACAAACGTATAAACTTGGACACCGAAAGTCTCCAGGTGGTCCACCCATCATTTTGGCCCCAATTTCCGCCCCCAGCCCCATCTGAACGGCCTGGATCAGTCTTTGGACCGGGGAATCACCCCCCTGCTCCCCACCCCATTCCTGCCCATGGGGGAGAGCGAGACTGTGTCATTTGTCCACACTGAGGGATGGGTCTAGGGTGGGTGGGAGAGGAAGGATCTGGGAGGGAGTGAGTCAGCCCAGGGCGAAAGGCTGTGGGGCTGTGAGTGGGCCTGGGCTGGAAGGATTTTTCAAAAAGGAAGAAGGCCGTGGGTGATGCGGTGGTGACTGGCAGGTCACTGGAACCCACGGAGGGACAGGCTGGCCCACCAAAGCAGGAAGACAGAAAGGGAGCTGCTCTCTGAGCCCAAGTCTTCCTTTTCAGAAGCTAGTAGCAGGAGGAAATGGCCACCAACTTCCCAGTCACTGGAGCCCAAGCTGAGATATGGGGTGATTCAGGGCCGGTGCGACGGAATTGGGGGTGGTGTGTCCTCTGTCCCCTCTGCCCCAGCATGCAGTCCCTGAGGCCTGATCCAAGGGGAGGCATCAAAGGAAATGGTGACGGGCCACTGCCCCTCCCAACAGGGACCCTGAGGTGCCTGAAGTAGTCCCTCAGCATGGATGGAATGTGTGAAGATTGTAAAACACACACACGCTTGTGAAACAATCAGGGAAATTGGATGATATTCGGGAATTTCTTTTCAGGTTTGCTAATGGTACCGTGTTTATTTTTAAAAAGCCATTTTTAGAGGTGCACAGAGAAATATTTAAGAATGAAATAACGTAGTGTCTAGGACTTAATGATTACGTACTCTATCACTAATACAGTTGCAGACCAGAGGGGTAGAAGTGAGTGAGGATAAAGAAACAAGACGGGACCAGCGTTGACAACTGTTGAAGCGGGTGGTGGGTAGATGGAGGCCTGTTACATTTCTCTCTTCACTTTTGTATTTTTGAAAATTTTGGAGAATTTTCATAATAAAACAAAGTAGGTGTATGGACATAAAAGGGAGACAACGAAACTTCTCAAGAGAGAATTATTCAGCAGGAACATAAAAGAAAGAAACAGGCAGAGATGGCGATCCACACTCAGAGATTACCGCCCTAAAAAGCCTGCGTGTAGACCCGCAGTCAGCCCAGCACCCAGCTTGGCACCCTCCAGAGCCCTGAAGCGCTGGCTGATGATCCGTCCACCCCATCCCTCGAGACTGGAGAGGCAGAGGCCTGGCAGCAGGCTGTGGGCAGACCCCGGCCAGCTCCCAGGGTGGGAACGCTTCCTGACCACACAACAGAGGGGAGGCTACTAGATAGACCGGCACCTCAGTGCCTGCAGCTGTAAAATGGGGAGACCACTTGGCCTGCCTAGCGCACAGTGAAATAATGGAAGTGAAAGCAGCTGAATACATCAAGGCCTTTGGACAGTACGGGAGGCAGTTTCAACTCCCGGCCGAGGGGGGCCGAGAAAGAAACCCAGGCTGATACCATCTGGGTTCTGGTGCCAGTTCTGCCAGCGACAGGTGTGCTGTGTGGCCTCAGAAGAGTCGCTTACTGTCTCTGGGCCCGTTTCCCTCTCTCTGCAGGGAGGAGACTGGACAGGATCTTCTGGGTCCCCTCCAATTCAGACAGGATGGGACGAGAAGCCTGGGCTGTGCCTGGGTGTACTCAGACAAGCCGAGGGGTCGGGGGAGCAGAGGGGAAACATCAGAAGGCTTAGGAGATGAAGGCCGTGCCATAAAAGAAAATGCCAACTTTCCCGGGTTCATCCCAGGGAAAGGGGAACAGCTTAGCCACTTGAAGCCAATTGTGGGTGGTGGACAGGTCCCTCAATCCCAGGCCACCCCACAGAAACCATCGGGAGGGAAGAATGTTCCAGCAATGCCCAGATTGAATGCCAACCCCGAGGCCCAGCATGGCCTCTCTCTCATCCTCCCCAAGCCCCATACTCGGTATCCACTCTTCAACACTTCCTGAGTCCACTAGTGACACAGGCCCGCCACACAGAGGTCCTCCCTGGTCACCTGCCCACACGGGCCCCCAGTGGGGAGGGCAGACGCACACTCGCACACACCAGACACCGGCAGGGCCCACTCCGAGTGTTGCTTACTAAACAAATACCACATAAGTCAAGAGTTTCTCTTTCTTTCCCCGTGAAGGAGGCTCTCTCCGGAAGCAGCACCCTCAGCCCCAAACCCTACTCCACATGCACTGGGCTCAGGGGATCCTTACCCACCGAGCCATGGGGCTCCCCCTCCCAAATTTCCGCAGGCTGATGGTGAATATCTGGACAGGCGTGTGGGCAGGCTTTCAGGGGACAGACCTTGAAGGGTGCAGAGTGTGGGACTGGCTGAAGCTATGGCTTAGATTCACCTGCTCAGGCCCATGAGCATTTGTGCCCTCAGGCAGGGGCCTGTACCTGGAAGGATCTGGGCCCCCACACACTTTACCACCCCCAACACACACACACACATACACACACACACACACACACCAGGCATATGATCTCAAAGTACTACCGGAAGGGAAACTTGGCGACTGCTTCTCCATGTCACCAAATCCCAGCCTTACCTCCTCCCCCCAAAGCTGACATGTGCACAACAGCAGCAAAGGCCTGGGAGAAGTGGGCACAGCCCCACGCCCATGAAGGCTGGGTTACTGTCCGGCAAGCACGCTGCAAGACTCTGCCCTCCCCTCCATTTCCCCACACACAGGGGCTAAGAGGTGTCCTGCCCTGTCAGACCCACAACACACGCTCCCCCTCTGCCCACTGCGACCCCCACTCAGGCAGAGCGCAGGGGCACACACAAACTCGGGGTGAACTACAGGCACCCCTCCCGTAACCCATGACAACTTCTCATTGCGCCCACTCTCGTCCATCTCTCTTTCCGAGTTCTGCCTGTTGGTGTCAAGTCCTAGAAGTGATACGGTTAACAGAAGTAAACAACCCCCAGAACTTTCCTGTCCGCACTACAACTCCCTCTCCCTCCCCTCAAAGCCTAAGCCCAAACTGTGTGGGACACGGAGACACCAGCAAAGTCTAGACAGAAAAAAAGAGAAGAAAACACGTCCTTGTTCCGGCGGGCGGGCGGGCCAAGGCTCCCACCTGCTGGCGGGGCGGCTCGCGCTCCCCGGCGCCTGGCTCACTCACCGGCCCTGCTTAGTGATGATCATCTCCGTCTGGTGCTGATTAAACTTGGACCACAACAGGTGGTTGTTGAGCGCGACTCGCAGCTTCCCGGACACCTCCAGCCCCGCCGGCAGTGCATAGTCCTCGCGCGCCCCGGGGTAGAGGCCGGCGCGCGGGTCCGGGGCCGCGTAGCCGTCCCCCGGCTGGTAGCCCTCGGCGCCCGCCGTCGGCGGGAAGGGCTCGCCCGCCCCGGGGAAGCCGGCGGCCTGGGGCCGGGGCGGGTAGGCGTAGGCTCCGAGGAAGCGGCCCGGCGGGGCGGGCACTAGGGCGCCCCCCGCGTAGGGCGCCCCCAGGCTGGCGCCCCCGCGACGGTCGACTGCGTCCTGCGAGCCGGGCTCCGAGTAGAAGTAGCGGTTCTGTGGGTCGGCGCCCGGCGCCCGGCCCTCGTCGCTCGCAGGCATCGGCTCGGTGCCCGTCAGCATGTCTCCGCAGCCCGGCTCCACGATGCCCATCCGGGGCGGGCTGGTACCTTCCCGCAGCCGTCGAGGACCGGCCCCTTTCCGCGCGGGGGCGGCCG